TTTTTTTTTTGTTTTTTTTTTTTTTTTTATCCTCTGGGGGGTAACGCTCGTTACCCGGGCCTCACCCCCCCCCCCCCCCCCCGTAACGGTAACGCTCGTACGCGGGGGGGGTCTCGGTCTTCCCCTCCAACATGCTGGTGCCCGAAGGCATGCGCACTGTGGTGTGGTGGTCGCAGGCGCACTGTGGGCGCTCGCAGGCCATTGCGGCGCTCGCATGCGCGATGCTGGTGCTTGCGGGCTTTGCGCTTGTACTCGAATCGTCGTCGTCGTCGTCGTCGTCGTCGTCGTCGTCGTCGTCGTCGTCGTCGTCGTCGTCGACGGCGCCCGAAAACGGCCTCCGGAGGCCGAAACAGGCGGCAAACGTCGTCGTCGTCGTCGTCGACCTCGTCGCTCGTCGCTCGTCGATCATCGTCGTCGCGCGCGCGGGCGCGGGCGTGGTGCCGGGACCACGCGGCGGGCTTTGCGCTTGTACTCGAATCGCAAGCCACTGTGGTGCTCTCAGGCAGAGAGTGCTGCTCGCGCGCATACTATGGCGATCGCAGAGCGCCCCTGCTTCGCCATACCCCGCCCAGCCCAAGCGTTACCGTTACCCGGGGGGCACGACCCCCCCCCCCCCCCGGGTAACGAGCGTTACCGGCCGGAATAAAAAAATGATCTCATGCTGATGCTGATGATGATAGTGATTGTGGCAAATAGGATGAACAAAAATAGGAGTAGGATGAGAAGGACGCAACCAGTGTAAGCCCAATAGTTACCAACGATGTTTTACTACACGCTCCCTCCAAGCTCCCTCTCCATAGGCACCATACAAGGATTCATGTTCGCTGAAAAGAGTGCCCCGTTTGAAAACAACCGCTTGGAAATCGTGAACTGTGCCCGAATACCACCCCTGGAACTTCAACGCCGCGAATCACAATTACGGTTGCGTTTTGACGATCCAGAATATTGCTATAACGTTTTCTTGGGGACTTCAGCACCACGAGCCAACATAACTGTTGCCGCCTGACAGTCCGACATCGTGGCGCAACGCATCTTTAGGAAGTTAACCATGCGAGTCCTCGAACACGTTGCAAGTTCGTCAAGCGAATGTGCGCCGCGCTAGGGCGAGAACCACACTTTTAAAAGGGCCGTCCTCCATTCGTGGAGCTCTGGCAAGTTTTAATGGCGATTGTGCGCGGCGCGAAGGCGACAACCACATTTGGATGCGGCCCGTCCTCCATCCGTGACGCTTTTTGCGTTGTATTTTTAAATTCAGGCTCATAAATGGGGTGTTGAAGGATAGTCATGTAGACGAGAAGGAGGCGCAGGAAGAGGAGGAGGAGGAGGACGAGGAACATGATGAGGAACAGGAGGAGGAGGAGGAGGAGGAGGAGGAGGAGGAGGAGGAGGAGGAGGAGGAGGAGGAGGACAAAGAGGAGGAGGAAGAGGAGGAACAACAGGACTTCAACGCCACGGGCCAACCTGCTTGTTGCGCCTTGACGTTTCTGAGCCGACACCGTGAATCAACGGGTTTGGTGCGCCCTGAAAATACGGATTCTCTCCAAAATGCAGTTGATTGTACGCCAGTCATGATAATTTGTGCAGCTCTTGTAATTTGTTGAAACGCATGTGCGCGGCGGTGAGGCGCGCGCCACATTTTAAAAAACTACCCGCCCCAAAACGAATGTGCGCGGCGCTAGGGCGAAAGCCACATTCTGAAAACCACCCGCTTCAAGATTGTTGGCAGTTTTCAAGATTCAAGTTTCCAGATCGCGGCAAAAGCCAAATTGTTGGCAGTTTTCAAGATTCAGCTTCATAAGTGGTAAGGAAGTCTCAAGCGACACGCTTGGCTCGCCCTTGCGATTGGCCTCGGGGTGCGACAGGGAGGTGTTATTCATAAGGGGTAGAAGTGAGAAGGGGGAGGTCACATAACAGCAGGACGCGGTGGTTCATTGTTTATACGAATGGTTTACGCAATTCCGACGACCCCCAGACGGAATGAAAGTTTGTACTTGTTGGGTGCATCTGATTGGCTCTTGGGATGCCTCTCAGGGATCTCTCGGAGGGCTTTTTGGGGCATCAGGTGTGTTTTTGGGGCCTCTTGGGGGCTTTTTGGGAGCCTCTTGGAGGCGTCGGCTGTGGGGGGCTCTAGGTGCCATTTTGGAGGGAAATGCTCGACATCTCAGTTCGTAATCCTTCCCTGTGCCGCTTCTGAGGGCCCTCTTGGGGACGTCTTTGGCTGTCTTTGGGGCCGTTTGGGATCCTTCTTGGGGGCCCCATTGACCAGTCTTGCACGCTGCCAAGCCTAAAAACACAGCATGCTACGAATGTGCGTTTTCCTGAGGAATTTTGGCAGTTTCTGCCTCTTGGGGCCTCCTCCTTGGTCCTCTTGACGCCCTCATGGGGCGTCTTGGAGGCCTCTTGGGTCGTCTGGAGGCATGCTTCGGTGTTTTTGATGCCTCCGCGGCGTGTTCGAGCCTGGCTTGGGCCATCATGCATGGCATCTGAAGGATCCTGGAGGCCACGGATCGTTGTTGCGGGCTCAGACCGCATTTTGGACCTTGGGGGATTGGGATTGGGGGAGGGGGACAGCCACATGTCGCACACGCCTTCTCACCCCCGGCAAGCGGGGTCGGCGGATTATAGGAGACTCTCGTCGACGCATGGTGTCAGAATATCGAAATGCAGCAGTACGTGTTGAACTCTTGGGGGTCTCCTCCACCCCCTCACGACCCCCGCCTCCCGCCGTTTCTGCTCAGTGCCCTGGCTCGCCTCGGAGGCGCCCCTCAGGTCGCTCGAGCGCTGCTTGAGTCAAGCGACCACGGACCAAAAAGGTAAACTCTTGGGGTGGCGCTCCTGAGCTTCCATTCGCAACGGATGCGTCCCGCTATTTTTTTTGGCCGCTTGCTGGACCCAACTCGTTGCCAGCGAAGAGCGTTGTTTTCTGGGAACATCGCAGACAAGAAGGGATGGTGACGGGAACGCCGTCTTGCGAAAGGGCGCGACATTGGCGTCACTTTGGTCGGCATCTTCTTGGAACGGCCGAGGTAGCGGTGTCGGGCTTTAATTGACAGCAGAGGCCAGGACATGAAGACCACATCGGAATTGAGTGAGGCGCAGCAGTGTACGGCTTCTGGTTGCGCACAGACAGCCCCCCCAAGTAGTCAGCTGTCCTCAACAGGCCCCCCCGAGTAGCCCCAACTGGCCCCAACAGGCCCCCCGAAGAGCCTGGGGCCCAGTGGCCTAACTTGCACCAGGGCTTCAGCCGCTACGGCCAGCGGTACCTCAGTTCTTACAGCCCTGGCGACAGGGCAGCGAATGTTGTTGCGAACCCGACGGTGTGGAAAGGACAGAGGGAAGAGGATTGCTGCTTGCAAGAAACGAGTTGCTGGCCAAATAGGCCAATGCACTAACGAAGTGGAGCTGGCCTCGAAGCGGAGAGGCCAAATATTTGGAACTGTTGCTCGAGTTAGCTTCGCCTCGAATTGTCGTCCATGCCACTGCTGAGAGGCGAAGACACTATGCGCCTCCAGGCGATGCGATGGGCTGCAGTCGGAATAGACTTACGCACCAGAGGGGTACCTAGCTGAAGCACAAGCGGTAGACAATGCACACACGTACACGTGTGTGTGTGTGCGTGTGTGTGTGTGTGTGTGTGTGTCTGTGTGTGTGTGTGTGTGTGTGTGTGAGTGTGTGTGTGTGTGCGTGTGCGTGCGTGCGTGCGTGTGTGCGTGCGTGTGTGTGTGGATGTGTGTGTGTGTGTGCGTGTGCGTGTGCGTGTGCGTGTGCGTGTGCGTGTGTGTGTGTATGTGTCAGAGAGAGAGAGAGAGAGAGAACTCATCCGATCAATGATACGATGGGGAACATCGATTTATTGCTCGGTATCATTGCCATACCTTGCGCAAGAGCAAAGCCGTATTGTTACCTGGGATAGCCAACCCTCAGGGCTTGGTTGCCAGGTACGCTTTAGATCGCAGCAAGTTGCCCGAACTGCGAAAACTGTCAACGCTAATTGCTGGCGTGCAAGACAAAGGCGCGGCTTTCTGTTGGGCAAGTGGAAGTAGGTCCCCTGTCGGGATGGCCCCTTCTCAAGGAATCGCCGCGCGGGGGCAGCTCGTGCGCGGCTGGCGTGGCATGGCACTGGGCACTGGGCAAGTGGAAGCATGTCTCCTGCCGCGAGGGCCACCTCGCAGAAGCTCGCCGCTCAGGGACAGGCAAGCTGGCAGTGGGCGACGCGCAAACGACCATTGACAAGGCCTTGCAGCTGATGCTCGCGCGCGAGATTTACTTTGTGCAGAGGCGTAGGAGGAGACCTTATATGGGCGGCGGTCTCCGCGGGAGATCCACGCACGATGTTGCCGCCAGAAATGGCTGGACATATCAAAAGTCCAGTGCAACGGCGAGCATAGGAAACAAACCTCTAACTGCTGCCTTTGCTGGACGGGTCGACTCACGTGCTGGCATCAGCTGGCATGTCTATCCTATGCGCGCCTGCCTCTGCCGAGCATGCGGGAAAGGAGCCGCCCATGCCGTCCGTGCGAGGAGCAGCGTCATGCGGCGGTCCCCGCGGCGTGCCAGGTGCGTCAGCCACCCTTCCTCGTATGGTGTGCTAGGAATCCTGGCCACGTGTGTCTAGTCCAGTTCTAGACTCATTTCTTGCGGAGCGAACGGTTGCCCTGTTTCTTGACAGTTGCAGCCGTGTCGCCGGTTCACCAAGCTGGGTGTGCTGTTTTGTTTGGGAGGGTCCACGAGGAAGGGTAGCGCGACGACCAGCACATGGTGAAAGCGCGCGTCTGGTGGTTGTACGACCACCCGGGTTTCCATTTTGGTCGTGCTGCGAGTGTGTACGGCACGCGAGTCCGCGCGATTACCTAACATGTTGCGGGGGTGGCCGAAATTGCGTGTGAGAGAAGCGAAGAGGCTTGGGGCAGAATGTCTTGAGCCAGAGTGGCCGCGGAAGAGGAGGAGGGGCAGGGGGGGGGCGGACGAACGAGGAGAACGACAGTTTCGCTTTGCGCCAGGCGCCGCCAAGGGCGCTGCCCCCAAGGGCTCGGGGGCCGCACGTCATCCTGCGCAGCAGCCCGCTGGCGGTCTGGGAGGAGCGCCCCCCACCGTGATGGGGCCCTGCGCTGTTGCTGTCGCCGCCGCCTCCTCATCGCTCTTCGTCGGAGGGAGGAGAAGCGACACCATCGCTCGCGGGCCACCTCCATCGGGGATGTGCAGGATACTTCTCGAGATGAAGGCTTGAAACTTCTCGAGATGGGCGTCGCGAAATAGGGGGACCATACCACCAAGAGGACGATGCCTGGCTCATGCCCTCTGTTGTTGTAATTGTTGTAATTGTTGTAATTGAACTCTCATTCTTGAAGAATAATTATTGTTGATCCCCCCCACCGGTGCACATTGATTTTTTTCGATTGAAGTGCCACCCCCGGGGCTCGTACCTTGTTTTTCTCAAGGAAAGTCTTCCTGCTCAAACTGTGCCCCTGCCCCCCGGGCTACAACAACAACGGCTCCCGCCTGAGACTTCCTCGATTTTTACTCAGGACCCCCGCTCCCGCCTGAGACTTCCGCCCAATTTACTCAGGAAAGGCGCTCCCATCTGAGACTTCCTCGCAATGTAATCAAGACCCCCGCTCCCGCCTGAGACTTCCGTGCAATTTACGTTGGAACGGCGCTCCCGCCTGAGACTTCTTCGAATTTTACTCAGGACCCCCGCTCCTGCCTGACATTTCCGCGCAATTGACTCAGGAACGGCGCTCCCGCCTGAGACTACCTCGCAATTTAGTGAGGACCCCCGCTCCCGCCTGAGACTTCCGTGCAATTTGCTCAGGAACGGCGCTCCCGATTGAGACTTCCTCGCAACTTAGTCAGGGCCCCCGCTCCCGCCCGAGATTTCCTCACAATGTACTCAGGACTGCGCTCTCGCGTGCGACGTCCTCACAAATTATTCTGGAATTGCGTTTCGGCGCTCAGAAACCACGCACGCGCCAAGGACGCCTTCACAACGTGGTATCTTCCCTCTTCCTTTGTCCTTCCCCCTCCCCTTCCTCCCACTCTCCCTCGTTCTTCCCCTCCTCCTCTTGCAGGGCCCGCGCCAATTCCAATGGCGGGCAGAGAGATTTACGCCCCCGAAGGATTGTCCGCCCGTTCCGGTTTGCCCGTACGTCTAAGCCCGCCGGCCCCAGCAAAGAGAAATAATCCCCCCGAAAGGGGTGTGATCGAAGACGAAGAGGGCGGGCATCGAGGGTGTAGGGTATGCGTGTTGAATGACTCGCGGGCAAGTAAGAGCGTACAGCCTTAAAATGGTTGTTGTTGTTGTTGTTGTTGTTGTTGTTGTTGTTGTTGTTGTTGTTGTTGTTTTTGTTTTTATTTTTGTGTTTGTTGTTGTTGTTGTTGTTGTTGTTGTTGTTGTTGTTGTTGTTGTTGTTGTTGTTGTTGTTGTTGTTGAAGTTTCATTTCGGAAGAGTAATTATTGTTGATCCCCCGCCGCCAGTGCATCTGTTTTGTTCTCAATCAAACTGTGCCCCCTCGAGCCGCACCTTTTTTTTACAGGGAAATTCTTGATGTTCAAACTGGGGCCGCCCTGCCCCCCGGATTATCACAACAGCGGCTCCCCCTCAGGCTTCTCCCAAATTACTCAAGACCCCCGCCCTTGAGATGTGGAGGGTTGTGGGGCGGGTGGTGGGGGGGGGTTGGGGGGGGGGGGGTGTGAGGAGGATGTGGGGTGGGCGGGTTTGTTGGGTTGGGGGGGGGGGGGGGGGGCGTGGGTGTGGGGGTGGGGGGAGGGTGGGGGGGGGTGCTGGGGGGTGGGGGGGGGGGGGGGGAGGGGGGGTGGAGACTTCCTCACAATTTACTCAAGATCGGTGCTCCCGCTGTGACCTCCTCGCAATTTAGTCAGGACCTTCGCTCCCATCTGAGACTTCCTCACAGTTTACTCAGGAACGGCGCTTCGGCTTGAGACTTCCTCGCAATTGAATCAAGATTTCCTCGCAATTCAATCAAGACCCCCGCTCCCGCCAGAGAGCCCTCCACATTTTATTCAGAAATAGCGCTCTCGCATGTGACTTCCATGCGATTCATTCAGAAATCGCGCTTTCGACGCTCAGGACACACGCTGCGCCAAGGAAGCCGTTACAATTTACTTAGTCATCGCGCTTTCGCCATACTCAGGTATCCCGCTTGAATGTCCCACCCGCCCGATCCGCCCGTCAGGGGATCGCCCGCCCGTCGTGGGCTCCCGCCCGAGACTTCCTTTAGGAACGGCGCTTTCGCCTAGGAATTCCTCGAACGTTCACGCTCTTACCTGCGTGCTCCTCCTCCCTCTCCCTCCTCCCTCCTCCCTCCTCCCTCCTCTCCTCCCTTCTCTCTCCCTCCTCTCTTCCCTCATCCTTGTGCCTCTCTGCCCTATCCCCTCTCCCTCCTCTCCCTCCCTCCTCCTTCCCCTCTCCTGCCTCCTCCCTCCCTTTTTTTTGTTCTTTCTCTCTCTCTCTCTCTCCCCTCTCTCTATATTTCTCTACCTTTCTTACCAGTCTTTTTTTTTTTTTTTTTTTTTTTTTTTCTCTCTCTCTCTCTCTGCCTGTAACCAACCGCCCCCCTCTTCGCTCCTTCTCTCCTGGCGTTTTCCCACTTCCTTCGTCCCTCCCCCTCCCTTCCCCCTCTTTCTGCAGGGCCCGCACCAATTCCAATGGCGGGCACGTGTACGCCCACGGAGGATTGTCCGCCCGTTCAGGTTTGCCCGCCCATCTAAGCCCGCCGCCCCCCGTATAGAAAAATAATCCCCCCAAAGGGGGTGTGATCGAACACAAAAATGGCGACTATTGAGGGTGGTGGGGACTCCTTTTGAATGACACACACGCAGGTAAGAGCGAAGAGTCTTAGAATGAATGTTGTTGTTGTTGTTGTTGTTGTTGTTGTTGTTGTTGTTGTTGTTGTTGTTGTTGTTGTTGTTGTTGTTGTTGAACATTATTACTTCTAAAGAATAATTATTGTTGGGGCCCCTGGTGCACGACCCCCCCGCCGCGCCGAGGCCGCAGCCTCATTTTCATCATTTTCGTGAGGAAGTCTCAGGCAAAACGGGTTGGTCCGGATCCGGTTGTGTTGTTACGATCGGTTTCCCCTTGCAAAAAATAAGCTAAAGTGGACATTTCTTGTTCTAACATAACCAAACTTCAAGAATCCCTTGCAACAAATAAGGTAAAGTGGACATTCGCGCGCGCAAGACGAAATCCTTCCAAAACCTTAGTTTTCGTAGCGATTTTAACATAAAAACATCAAAAACCCAATGGTTTTTCAAAAAAACTTGTCGAAATTTCATCCCGCGCGCTCTTGCGGATTCGTAGGAAACCCAACACTTTTTAAACATTTCTGTCAAACGGGCTTTTGCGAGCAACTTTTTCGAACTTCTGCAACAACGGTTGCGCACCTGCCAGGGCCATCATCCCTGTCAAATAATACCATGCGGGACACATTCGTTTTTTCTTCGCGCGCGCACGCCGTCGTCGTCGGCCGCGGGGCCCTGAATAGTAGCCACGGTCGTCCGCATGCCACGAAGTGAAGTGTCCGAACGTCATAGGGCGGGAAGCTGGGTGTGGGTGGTGGCGAAGAGTCGTTTGGAAATTTGGTAGAGCTTGAACCGGCCCCCCCACAAAGTGGGGGTATTGCCCGCCTCCTATGAAAACCCTGGCACTGGTGAGAACGGTGTGTCCCCACGTGCTAGTAATTGTTGTTGTTGTTGTTTTCATTGTTGTTGTTGTTGCCGTTGTTGTGGTTGTGGCTGTGGTTGTGGTTGTGGTGTCGGTGGTTGCGGTTGTCGCTGTTGTTGTCGTTGTTGCTGCTGAGTTCTCATTTCTAAAAAATAATTACTATTGATCCCCTGCCTGGAACCATCGTTTTTTCAATTAACGTGCTTCTCTTGGGGTTCGCCCCCTGGTTTTCTACGGGGAAAGCGAGGAAGCACCACATTGCGGTTTGGGCCCCGATTTAAAGTAGCAGCGGCTCCCGCCTGATACTTCTGCACAATGTATTCCCAAATCGTGCTCCCGCGCGGGACTTCTCACAACTTTTTCAGGAATCGCGTGGGACTCCTCCCAATTTTCTCAAAAGCCGCGCCCTCGACAATCCTCGACAATCAGGAATCACGCTCTCGCTGTGGATTTCTTACGATTAATTCGGGAATCGCGCTATCGCTCGAGAGTGCCTCGCGATTCATGCAGGGCGCACGCTTCAGCAACCCGCCTGCTCGACCTGGCCGCGTGGGCCCGCCTTCCCGACCCGCCCGTTCGGGTCTACCCGCCCGATCTGCCCGCCTGGTTTTGTCACGTGTGTTTTCTGCTCCTAGCCCTCCTGCTATTCGCTCTCGTGCTCTATCCTCCTCCCTCCCCCTTGTCCCATTCCTTTCATCCGTCCTCTGTCCCCCTGCTGCACGACATACGCGTAGCAGGTCAGAAATATGTTCCTCTGCTGCACGACATACACGTAGCATGTAGAAGGTCGAAGACGAAGAGGGTGGGCATCGAGGGTTTGGGACATACGTAATTGCACGCGAGTGTATAATATCGAACATTATTAACAACATAACCAGTATTATTGTTGTTGTAGTTGCTGTTGTTGTTGCTGATGTTGTTGTTGTTGTTGTTGTTATCGTCATTGGCTGTTATTGTGGTTGTTGTTGTGATGTTGTTGTTGTTGTTGTTGTTGTTGTTGTTGTTGTTGTTGTTGCTGTTATTGCTGTTATTATTGTTGTTGTGTTATTGTTGTTGTTGTTGTTGTTGTTGTTGTTGTTGTTGTTGTTGTTGTTGTTGTTGTTGTTGTTGTTGTTGATGAAGGCTAGTTACTAAACAGTTATTATTGTTGGAGCCCCAGGCGCCTTGGCGCTCTCGCTTCGGCGGCGGCTACATGTTCATTGAGAGGCTCACGCTCGAGCGGCTTGGGGGGGCGCCAAAAAACGTCCCCCAAATAACAACAGCGCTCCCGCTCGAGACTTTTTCCTTTTTTGCTCAGGGCAGGTGCTCTTGCTCGCCGCCGAAAGCCGCCGTGCCAACAAAACCAGCGCTACCGCTCGGGACGTCCTCCCGTTTTACCTCAGACTGGCGCGCTA